GCCACCCGGACGTATGTTAACATCGACGAGAAATGTGGTGCCATCGCCGGGCATTCCCGTGTATCTCTGAGCGACACAGGTCATGATGCAACGATCATGGCGGTGGTACACTTGCTCTGGTTGCGGAGGTGTGCCGCTATCGGCCGGCTCGGTGCCGTTGTCGCTACTGAGATTCGGCGTCGAGTACCGACGCGACAGCCGCGTGCTTCATCGGGTATCGGTGGCGGCGCCCAGCACACGGTGGCCGGAGCGATGCTGACAGTATTTCGCGCTAAACTGGTAGCGTATATACACAGCGGTGGATATGTCCATTGGTTAGCTGGGCTCTTCAAACATGACTGGGATGGCGCGGATAGAAAGAGGGATTGCCTTAGCTGTACCGGCGTTGCCTTCTCACAGGCAAGCGATGGTTGCAGCCGCAATGACAGCCCTTACGATAGTAAAGGGAATATTCAACGTTTGGAATATTAAAGCATCAGCTGTGATGAAATAAACTCACTGATACGTTTTGGTATACTTTCAAGTGGATGACAACTTAAGACAAACACAATTCCCTTGTTCAGCAAATACGCTCCTCAATACGTCATTGTTCACGGGCTTCTTAAAAGCCTAAATTGTACTTTAAGATTGATAATAGCGCAGTTTACCAGACCAATGCATTGCGTGCACTAATATGCTGTCAGGCTATGAGTACATCCTCTTGCTTACACTTGCGTCTTACACTACCTGCGTCTTCTCATCGAACCTGTCGAAAACATAGATGACTCCGGAATCGATTTGGACTCCGCCCAGAGCCCAGTAGAGGTCTACCTGTAGTCGGCCAATACTGTCGGTGGCGTTGCTGATAACAGAATTTCGGGGAGTGTTAGTAGTCGGGGCATACAAGCCAACGTCGGCTTCTGTTCCAGCGCGTAAAATATTAACGCCAACGCATGAAAGATCGAAGTCAAAATGTGCTGGTTGTTCTTCTGGCTTGGTAAAACAGTCATAAACACGTCGCACCTCCTGTTTGAGTGCGCACAGTCGCCGTCTGGTAGCGAGGTTGGTGGCCATGCACACCGGTACCGCAGCTGCTATTCAAACAAACCGTGTATTTGTGCACACACTCGCCGGGCTTATCTCTACATCCGAAGGGAGGCCGGGACAGCAAGGCCTACCTTGGACTGGCTTACATTCCACTCAACGTGCAGACTAGATTATATCCCACTCTAGGTGACACGCGATAACGTCCATGGGGGGCCGATATGATACTTTATCAGATAGCAGACCAGGCGGCCATATCGAGTGCTGATGGGTGTGGTCGGCCAGCGCGTGCCACATCACCCGCCCAGGTCACGTCTCAAGACACTGGTCCCAGTCCTGCCAATACAATTCCTTGATGCGCTCGCAGTGTTTCACCAAGTTTGGACAGCGGTGCCGCGTGAAAAACTCCAGGTGCGGCCCGGAAATGTACAACAGCTGCACGACCATGCCGAACACGCAGCAGTCGAGCTCCGTCATGGCCGAGCCCAGCATGAACTGCTTGTCGCCGAGAAACGTGGACAGTGCCAGCAAATCTTTCTCGATCAGCATCATCAGTTCCGGCTCGCTAAACAGACCGATACCCTGCTCCTTCGAGCGGCGCGCAAACCCAAAGCGCAGGCCCAGTTTCACGAACGGCATGTACTTCCGCACGTTTTTCGGGAACTCGGGCCACACGTATCGCATGCGGTCCAGGACGTAGCGCCGGAAGAAGACGCCCCAGGCGGTGCGTTCTTCAAACATCACCTGGAAGGCCCGGCCGCACGCGAGGTCCCGCTCCGAGCAGTCGGAGGTCATGCGGACGCCCAGTTCGTGCGCGATGTGGTCGATGATGAGGGTGGAGTCAGCGACCTCGCGGCCGTTCAGCGTGATCCAGGGGCACTTGCCGCGCGGCCCGAACGGCACCCGGTCGTCCACCACGTACGTGATGTTGTTGGCGCGCAGGTAGGTCTCGACCTTGACCGCGAACGGTGAGATGTTGGGGCACGAACGAGCCCGCGCGAACTGGTGCAGCACGACGACGTCCCGACCAACAGCCGCCCACTCGGCCCTGCGGAGGCGGAGAGGGCACCGTCAGATGGCGCCGCAGAGGAGACGCGTGCCACCAGGCACCGGATCATCTGCAGACGTCCCACCAGGCACCGGGTCACCTACACACGTCCCACCAGACACCGGGTCACCTGCACACGTCCCACCAGGCACCGGGTCATCTACACACGTCCCACCGGACACCGGGTCACCTGCAGATGTCCCACCAGACACCGGGTCACCTGCAGATGTCCCGTCAGACACCGGGTCACCTGCAGATGTCCCACCAGACCACCGGGTCACCTGCAGACGTCCCACCAGACACCGGGTCACCTGCAGACGTCCCACCAGAGACTGGGTCACCTACACACGTCCCATCGGACACCGGGTCACCTGCAGACGTCCCACCAGACACCGGGTCACCTACACACGTCCCATCGGACACCAGGTCACCTGCAGACGTCCCACCAGAGACTGGGTCACCTGCAGACATCTCGCTATACGGCCGGGTACCTGCAGACATCCCGCCACACGACCGGCTGCCTGCAAACGCCTCATCAGACAGGCGGACATATGTGAAGGTCTCATCGGACGGTGGGCCATCTGCATGGGCCTCGCCACACTGCAATCTGCCTCCAGACATCAAGCCGGACACCAGGGATCTCCTGAGGTTCCACCAGGCAGCAGTCTACCTGTAAATGTCCGAACAGATGGTAGTCAGCCTGCATACCAGAGCAATTGTCAATCAACTCCATGCTCGGATCCTGAAGGGAGCGTGCCACCTTTTTTGTACTTTTCATTCATTGTTGGATTAGACGCGTGCTATTTTATCAGTAGCACCAGTTTTCTCGAAACTCTTCTGAGTTGCTCAGAATTTCTATTGAAAGAATTCGCTTCCAAGATTATTCGACCCATTGCTCACCACTAAGGAAGTAATACATTTCATTTGCGTTGCTTTTTCAACGGGTATGTTTTGTGATGTTAAGAACACACCAATTCGCCCAAATGTTTTGTGATCAATGCTACGAAAGCTTGAGACAATCGGTCTAGACAAAAAGATATTAAAATGAAGATTTTATCCCACGAATTCAACGAAACGTTGTACTATGACTTTGATTTCTCACCTATGGCGTTTACCACGGTGGTTCTTTTCAAGACGCACTTTAGCTTTGGGAATGGCAGTATCACATTGTCCATAGTGACACATTTGCCACTAGTTCAAACTCCAACCAATGCGCTTTTCAGTAGCGCTTCAACCAGTGCCCTTGCCGCCCGCTGGCCCAACCACACACTTTTTATCTACACCAGTAAGGGTGCCACGACGGTTGTCATGACGACGGCGATCGCGACAATTGCAGGAAAGAAGCACAGTGCTGTCACAAAGTGTTGACAGCGTAATTTGGTTTTAATAATGATCCAAATTGATATCCTTTTTATGTCTTGACGGCGCTGCAGTAGCGCTACGCGGTGCAGTTACTATACTTAGTGGTCCGGAGGTTCCACAAAAGTATGTGTTTTGAAATATGCCCAAAAGCTGGGACACTCCTTTTGACGTGATGTATGCGATTTATGTGTGTGTTATTAAGTGTTACTATGTTATTTATGTTCGCGTTATTATGTGTTACTATGTGAGTTATGTTTGGATTATTATGCGTTACGATGTATGTGTTATCACAGGATCGTGTGATTTATTTGCACGGGCCGATATCATCGAAAGAAGACAGACCATGGAGGTAACCAACAACTCAATTTTGTGCAACCCGTTGACAGGGCTGACCTATAAACTTCGTTGCCATTAGCCTTTCAATCTAAGAATAATGCGACCGTAACGCATTCACTTTGGAAACTCGCGCTTCATAGCACTAAGAAGCTATTACATATTAGCTGCGGGAAGCCCTCTTTCAGCTGATTTGCCGTCAGAAGGCTTTTTACCTGTGATTAGGCTATACAGTGCTATGCCGGAAAAGAAACCTTGTTGAAAAGGAAAATAATATTACTAGTTCCATAACATCTCTGATTCGACCATTAATCAAGATCAAAAGCGCAAATGTTGACGAAAATAGGACAGAAAGCTCGAGGGAACACAGCAGGTTGAAAGAGACATGGGACTTTTGATTGCCAGGAAAGAGGAGGAGCGCCTTGCACCCATATTTCCTTTGAGGCCAAGAATAGACTCACCCGCCGGAGCCCAGCAGTGTTGGAAAGCTTATAGTGTGAACAGGGTGTTGGGAAGAGTCGGCGGTGTGTGTGTGTAGTGTTGTGCGAATGTAGAGGCATTCTCAAGAGATGTGCTGCAGCGGGTGCTGTGTATTGTCATCGTCACTCGCTGCTGAGCTGTGACGTCACGTGCAGCTGACGCCATTATTTTAGGAGAAATTTAACGACGCCCCCAATTTTCGTAACATGGTGAAACATTTCACCTCTTTTGAGCGTCTGCCCAGCTGACCGGCTTCACCTTAGATGTCGTCGCCGCGCGTGCCAGGCAGCGGGTCCGGCGGCAGTCTCCCCGCGAGCCAGACAGATCCAGCGTCGCCGCGCGTACCAGGCAGCGGGTCCGGCGGCAGTCTCCCCGCGAGTCAGACAGATCCAGCGTCGCCGCGCGTGCCAGGCAGCGGGTCCGGCGGCAGTCCTCCCGCGAGTCAGACAGATCCAGCGTCGCCGCGCGTGCCAGGCAGCGGGTCCGGCGGCAGTCCTCCCGCGAGTCAGACAGATCCAGCGTCGCCGCGCGTACCAGGCAGCGGGTCCGGCGGCAGTCTCCCCGCGAGTCAGACAGATCCAGCGTCGCCGCGCGTGCCAGGCAGCGGGTCCGGCGGCAGTCTCCCCGCGAGTCAGACAGATCCAGCGTCGCCGCGCGTGCCAGGCAGCGGGTCCGGCGGCAGTCCTCCCGCGAGTCAGACAGATCCAGCGTTGGCAAGCGGGCTCTGCGCGGGTCCTTGAAGCCTTCCCCGCTGGCAGTCGACGTTGCTCCCCTCAAGGCCTACTTCCGTTGGCAGCCAGCGTTCCGCGCCTCACGCCCCCGCCCCTCCCCCGCTGGCAGTTGACGTTCCCTGCCCTCCACCCCAACCCCCGTTGGCGCCCCCGCCGTAGTTGGCGTTCCTGTCCTCAAGACCACCCCCGCTGGCAGTCAGTGTTCCACCACCATCAGGTTTGTGCACCGGGGTAGGTCGAGTGTGCCACATATGTTGCTAAGCTGATGCTGTAATGATGGGAGAGGTCGGCGAGGAAAGGGGAGCCAAGACGAGGTCGCCGTGATACTTTTTAGTGACAGCTAATCCGCCTTGAGGAAATTCTATCAGAGAAAATGATTACCTGTCGACCCAAAAAGGTTTTTAAGAGCAGTGTATAGTGGGTGGTGATCACTGAAGTAGGGGTCGGGCTGCACGCATGAAGTAAATAAGGGTCCGATGCCTCTAGTAGTGTCAGACGAGGTTTGCAACTGAACGTGTGGTACTTCGCGCATGTGTGGCGAAATGAGTTGGCGTTTGGTTGTTACCGCAGATTAGGAAGTGCGGATTCAGCAGTGTGTCAATGTGGATGCTGCAGGTGCTCTTGCGATTACAGCTCAAGGCTCGAGATTGAGTGTTGAAATCTCTGAGACAAATGTAAGTGGCGGGTGGATTAGTGAACAAGGTACAAACTTCATGCCACGGGGTGGAAGAGACAGATAAAAAGATATCAAGGTGAGATAGAGTTGGAAATCTTCACAATAGCCGCAACGTGAAGTTAGTCATTTTGAATGTGACGACGCAAAGACGCATTGAGCACGCTAAGCACCAAGCCACCTTGGCGAGGTTTTGCAGTTTATACTCTGTCGGTATGCTCGGCGAGGTTTTGCAGTTTATAGACTGTCGGTATGCTCGTTGGGGTTTTTGAGTTTATACGCCTGCCGATATACTCGGGGGGGGGGGGGTTACAATATATACACTGTCGGTATGTTTGGTGAGTTTGTCAGTTTTGTACGCTGTCGGTATGCGGTATGCAGAGACTACCAAGCACTTTGAAGTAAAAGGGTCCGGAAATTGTGTCTCGTGTTGCCGGTGATTTGCGTTTGCGTGCCCCTTCTTCCGCATAGTAAGATACCAAAGATCGTGTGTCGTACTGCAGCAGGAATACGCCTAAGCTGGGTCTCATTTGGGCAGGGGTGGAGAGGCTGCCCAGACCTACACTCAGTGCGGTTTAGAAAAAGCTGCCTCCGCCTTCAAACGTGCACAGCTGCGAGAGGGTGGCTCACCTACGAAGCAATGCGATTCCGTCCGTAAGCGCGGATGACCGAGCACGGGGCTTTGGAGTCGGCTTACTCATCTGGTGTGGCTGCTGAGGTCCGGCCGAGGTACGGCTCAGAAGGGCCAGCTGAGGTGCGACCAAGGTACGGCACAGAGGGGCCAGCTGAGGTGCGACCAAGGTACGGCACAGAGGGGCCAGTTGAGGGCCAGCTGAGGTACGGCACAGAGGGGCCAGCTGAGGTGCGACCAAGGTACGGCACAGAGGGACCAGCTGGGGGCCAACTGAGGTACGGCACAGAGGGGCCAGCTGAGGTCTGCAACGACGTGGTCCAGTCGGGCGCCGCAGCGTCAGCGCCACATGCGGGACCTGACGGCAAGGCACCAGCAGACCAAGAGGAGTGGGTCCCGTTGGTTGCGCACCTGTGGGTTCAGTCACGACCCCACGCAGCGGAGAGGGGGATGCGAGCAGGCGTCAACCGAGGGTGGAGCTGCTGTGCGCAGAGGCCGGGCTAGAGGCCGGTTCTTCGTTCGCGGCCGGTTGCGGAGTGTGGGCATCATGCGCAGTAGGACAGGGCGGCGGAAGGGTTCGCGCTCCCGGTAGCCATGCTCTACTGCCACGGTCCCCAGAGGCATGCTTCGTGCCCATTCCCGCACATGACGCACCGGGGAGCATCTATGCAAGCAGAAGAGGGTGACGTGGTTTCTATTGCAGCAGACGCACGCTGGGTGACGGGCCAGACAAACGCGGTCGACGTGGCTGTGCTTTCGGCAACGCTGGCATGGGATGACGGCGACACCCAGGAGCACACACAAGTGAAGGTCGACGCATTTCAAAAGTTCGTACATGGCCTGGTAGCTTCGTCGCATTCTTTGGTGTCGACATTCGACCGGTTATTTCTAATTATCCGATAACACGTCGTGACAAAATATCGCAGCGAACGCAGCTTTTTTGCAGGCCCACCAATCTAGAACGGTGCTGAATAACGCCAAAACATGCGGGCAATAACGCAAACTAGGACCACACCTAGCACGACATGCCAATTGTGCATTAAAGCATGGAGAATGCAGAACAGCAATGTTCTGGTAGTTTTGGTGCGTGCGTAGAGCTCTAAAAAATTAACGCTCTCACTTTTTGTTGCCTATCTTTCCTGTGAAACAATATTGCAAAACTTTAGTATGCATGTAATTGTCAGCTTTTACTTTTTGGTGTTCGGTATGCACATAATGAAGTTGCAGAAGGTTTGGGGCCAAACTCATCACGGGTGGGGGTTCCGATTGGACTCGAGGGGTCATGGACCAGCCCCAAATCAAACAGATCTGCACTGGTGGTACCGAGCGCGCGTAACGCACGGCAGTAGGCGGCACTGGGCCGTGGCCGGCCATTACGTGTTGGTGGAACCGCCCAAAACGACAAAAAACTATAGAAAATACGACAAAAAACTATAGAATGCGACAAAAACTATAGAAAATACGACAAAACTATAGAAAATGTTGATGGGAACCGCCACTACGACAAAAACTATAGAAAATCAGCTGTTGGTGCGAGAACCAGACCGCGGCGGCCCCCGTGTCACCTCCCAATCCACACCGGTCTCGACGGTGAACGGCATGTCGCGACACCCTGCCGCGGGAGGGGGGGGGGGGGGCACGGTTAACCCTGGACGCCAAGTCATGCGCGACGAGAGCGATAGCGGCGCCAAGGAAGTGTGACATAGAGAAGATAAGTGCGTGCCGAATTTCGCTGGGGGAGGGCCCATTGCAGGGCGCGCACAAATTGATGGAAATGGCAAAGAAAGGCATGCAAGGGGACACAGAGGTTGAAGAGATAAAGCACTAAGCAGCAAGGCGTACAGCAGATGAAAAAAACACCCGTCTTCGTTGTTTTATTATCACTTCGCGCACGATGCGCCAGGTAGCGCACTTTTATGTAGTATTTGCTGGTGGTCGAGGCATTAAACAGAGTAGATAAGGAGAAATATTGCTTCGGAGGCAAAGAAGAACTGGAGGTACAAAGAATTGTGAGATCGCCAGTGAAGATAATCTGAACACCATAAGACTCAAGGGGTGCCGGTAGTGTAGTGGTTAACGCGTCTGCGTCACCACTGAGCGTCTGGGAAACCAGAGGTACGGGGTTCGATTCCCCGCGGTGCCCGCCCTTCCTGCCAGGGTGAGAGCCAGGCAACGCCATATAGCCTCAGCAGCTGAAGGCGTACGTATAGCCCCATTGACACAAGACTCAGGGAGGGGACAGCAGCGCTTAGATCGCTTTAAAGTCAGCGACATCGACGCGCTTATGAATGGCGACAGACAGTGCCACACAACCACAGGTGGCGCTCGCTCGGCCGCTCAAGTCCACGCTTTCCAGGAAATCTAACCAGAGGCCAGACTTGCCGTGGCCCAATGGGATAGAGAGCCATCCAGATCGACTTAATGACGTCATGGGCGTTGCGTAACTGACCTGCGTCGCCTACGAACGTGAGTGCTGTACAACTTCAGGCCAACCCGGAGCAGCGCCAGCCCGACCAGAATGCGAGTGGCACGATAACCCCAGGCGGTTTCCAGCCAGGTATTGACATCGTCTGGCAGGAGCGCAGACACCCGGGCGCACACCGCCTCCATGTTTCTCCGACTGCTCGTGGCTCTCGGAGCAGAATCAGCTGACTGCTAGCGGCAGTAACGGAACACACATTGGCGAAGATCACGTCACCGATGGCTTGGGACGCGATTATTGGTTGTTCACGGTTGCCAGATTAGGAGAATGTCAGCAGATTTGAAGACATGTGATGGTTTCTTTTAGACGCTTGTAGTGAAAGCGGAATGTTAGGGAATTCCCTTCACCAACAATATCTCCTTCAAAAAACGAAAGCATAAACAGGCGAAACATCATCGAAAACTCTCTATAATTCAGAAGCACAAATGCGCAGAGGTAATCACCTGGACTTGCCTACAAAGGCAAGTTGGAGATAATCTAAGGATTATGTCTATTGGCCAGCCCTACGCCCTCTTCAAAATCGCCTCAGCGAACCACCGACAGATCATTATCAATCTGGCTAAAGACTCCAAGGGCCGTTGATATTTAGGTGGTCAAAACCATTCGTGAAACATATCTAACGGGGTGTTTCACCTAATTAAAGGAACACATAGCCAGATAGATGGGCATCGGCCGATGGTTCAACGAGGCAATTTTTAAGTACACCGAAGGCAGGGGCGCGGGATCTATGGTCAAGTCGGGATGAGCAGGCTAAAAAATGCTAAAATGCCCGCCCCTTGGGATAAGAGAGTAAAGACCAAAATTAAGTGAAATAAGATCATATGGGTAAGAATGGATCCTCTGCAGGATAAAATATATCTCGGCAGTCAATAATGGGCCCTCTACGGATTAGAATGGGGTCACTGCAGGTCAGAATGAGACCTTTACGGGCCAAGAATGGGCCCTCGTTAGGCCAGAATGGGCTCTCTACAGGCCAGGAATGACCCCTCTACAGGCCAGAATGGGCTCTCCACGGTCCATAATGCATCCTCCATCAGTCAGAATAGGTCCTTTACAGGCCAGAATAGGCGTTTCACAGACTCGAGGCCCATCTATCGCCCTTTGGAGCCACTTGCTATTATTACCGCAACTGGGGTCATGCATTCTGGCGGGCATTTGCAAGGTGGTTCACTGCGGGCAGCATTCGACCTTCAGGCTCAGATCTCAAAGGTTCGGGAACTGACAGCCAAAAGTCGTGAGACTTTTTTCTGCCGTGTTTATCGCCGTGGCGCATCAGCGCCAGCCGAGCTCTTTATGACGTCATATCACTTCGGCAGCCTTTCACTGATGTCATACCTTACGGGGCAGATATCTTCGAAGCTAACCGCTGTAGAATATCAGACGAAGATAAGGACAACATTTCCCATTACTCATCTGCCGCAGAAGACATAAGCAGGAGCAGTTTTCGGTACAGAGGGTCGCCCTGGCCGCCGAGATCTTCCATGCCGCCATAGAGAAAACGATGGTGTCTCACATACAGCTTTGTTGTCGCCAATTAGCTTTTCGTCATTTTGGCAAGTCTCCATTTGCGTATGCCGCTACTTGGTCCTTGCAAGACCCTTTAAAAGTTTGCATTTTAGCCGCTTGCCGTTCTGGCGTGTCTGCATTTTGGTACGAAGTCATTTTGAGATACGCCATTCAGTTACTTCGTCATTTTCGGACGTTGACGTTTTGGCACGTCGCCATCTTGTCATCTCGCATGTTCGCAATTTGAAGTTTGCCATTAGCCGACTCGGACTAGTACAGCGGTTGGTAAAAAGCTGACTAGTACAGCAGTTGGTAAAAACTCGGTCGACAAATGGCGAGTCAACTTTTCGTCCGGACGTCGCTTCACAAAATGAGTTGGGGAGGGGACTGAACAGCTAAGAAGAAGGAAGGGGTCAGGAAAAAGGGGCAGAGGAGGAAGGGGAACAAAAACACTACATCCAAAACTACGCCAACTGATTGCATCCGATCTGGCCAAGTGACATGCGCATTTCTCGCTATGGTATAACGCTGTGGTAATGTTAGTGCCGAAAAACTACGCTCATATCTAAATTCCCGACATATCCTGTCATGATCCGCTGTGCAGATTTGAAGACATGGGATGGCCGCTTCCTGCCTCCCGGACTGCCTCTCCTGATCCCTGCCTCTGGGACTACCTCCCCCATCCCTGTCTTTGGGGCTGCCTGCCTTGGTCTCTACCTCTGAGGCTGCCTGCCCTGATCCCTACCTTTAGGACTGCCCGCCCATAACCTCTTGAGGCTGACGGTCAATGACCCGATTGAAGGGCCTGAGGGCAGGCCGTAGGTCATATGAACAGACCCAGTCAGAAAGCCGAATCGTTAAATGTGCCGGAGAATCTCCGGGACCGATTGAAAGGCCCCTGGGAGAGTGAGAGCGTCCATATAAAGGTCGGTTCGGTGCCGCTGTGAGCCCTAGGGCGCTTTGCCCAAGCAGGGCAAAGCGTTGGCCTGCAGATGCCAATCAGAAGGCCTCTTACATCGATCAAGGCTCCTGAAACAGTGAAGGGATTCCTGCGCTGGTCAGGGCTTACAGTGCCTAACAAGGTACCCCGTGTCGGCAACGAGCCGCAGGTCGGCCAAGGACACGTTTGCTGAACAGGAACAGGGACAGGAACCCACATATTAAAGAGAACATCTTGCGCTGGTCACGGCCCTGTTAGCAATGAAAGGAGATATAGATATGATGATGCATTGGTTTCCATATACAATTAGACAGCTGAAATGCCCTGTGTTGGTCAGAGGCCCCAATATCGAGCGAAAGGTCCTACGCACCGTTTCAACCAAGGACCGAAAGTCCGATTGGTGTCTCCGTAGCAATTGTTGGACTCCCTGCGCGTGGTAAATAATTATTTTGCATCAGTGAGAGCCCATGCGTCGACCCCGCACCAACTGTCTCCGTCAGAGAGCGTGCCGCATCAGGGAGGGACCAGTGCGTGATATATCTCTCTGGGGGCCCTCCGTATCGCCCAGAGCGCTTACCGTCCCACGCCGCCAGAACTGCAGCCGCCAGGGATCCCGGCTGAACTGGATGTCCTCCACCTTCTGGCCGCAAAATTTTGCACGTGCGATTCAGAAGTTGATTCACTGAACGGAATTATCAGTTGCAACACGAGCAACATTAAGTACGCCATCGCGCCCGAGTTCGTGGTGCTGTACGCGCTAATCCGTCCCGGCGATCAATCTGACAATCGCACAGGTGAAACCTAAGGCCCGGGATCCTTCGACAGAAATACCAGTTGATTTCATAAAGCATCAGTACCATCTTCCGATACGCGGTAGTTTGACCCGCCCGTTGACTGCCGCCGGGCGCTAGCTGCAAGGTCTGACGCCGCGTGGCCCATGGGAGGCTGCAACGCCTGGGCTCTGTATTTTTTTCTTTCACGATGTACACGCAAAACGCCCTTGATTCCGACAGTTCAACACCCTTCTAACACCAAGGGCATTGCCTTTTGTCCGCTCTCACGTGATGTCTCTGGGGTCGCATTGTGCTGGGTGAAACTCCAAGTTTGATCAACAGCCTTGAATAGCTCTCAGATAATAAGTGTTCAGGTAATTGACATGATAGACCAATGCCCTACAAGCGCAAAATCCCCTTACAAACTCATCTAGCATAGCCGATTGTAGGTAGAGCCATCCCAGGAACTTCCACGTTTATATGCTACCAATTCGTTGCCATATACCACCCCAAAACATCAACAGTTCTCATCTCCGAGGCAATCTCAACTGTAAGCTGCGTAATGACAGAATTCCACCCACTGAGTTGCAATGCCATCCAACCAGCCACTAACACCACGCCACTGTCTTTGGTAACCATTTATTTTGAGAATAATCACCATAAAAAGCACATGGAACGGCGGCGGAGCCCGGCTGACGTCAACCACCCCCACCCCGTGACGTCACACGTCCGGCTCCGCGGCGGAGGCGAACAGTGCCGGCGGCGGCGGTCGGCGGCGCCGGACGAGCCCCGCCCAAACCAGGAGCCGCGGCAGGCTGGCCGACGCCCGCTATATCAACTACGCCAGGTTAAAGCTGACATTGCCCGCCCGGCGCGGGCAGCCGCGCCGGGCGGGCACCGACCCGACCAAACCAGGGAAACGAGGAATGTTGGCGCTGACCGGCACGCGTCCCCGCTCACCGCACGCCCTCCCGGCCATTCGCAAACCAAGAAAACAACAGCGCGACCGGCCGCCACGCGAGATAAACAGGAGGCACCGGGTCGTGGTCGCCCGCCGCCAAGCCGGCGCGCCGAACGGCAGCCCAAAACGACCGACCAAACCGCCACGCCATCCCGCACGCCGAGCAGACATCACAGTTCAGAATCGAAGCACGCGCCGCTAGCGCAGGCAGTCGCGCGTGCGGGGGTGTCGGCGGCGGCGGCCAACGGCGCAGCGACAGCGTCTCTCTGTGACGGCCAGAGCACGCCCGCCGCTGGCGCCGGCACCCTGGCGGCCGGCCAGCGAAGCTTACGACGTGGTGGTTCTGATGTGCTCAGTGCTGGTGGTCCGAGCGAAGCCACAAGAAGGGGGGCGCGGCTCGCTAGTCTGAAAAACAGGAGCAGTATCAGCAAGCCCCGCATGTACCTGCAAGTAGATCGTCACAACGGCTCGTGTGATATGATCCGATCCTTTGCCGAGCCGTTCAGAAATGATCATTGCAGTCAGCGCGCCATAAAACGCCAATGCACGACTAACCCGTTCAGCGGTGATGAGGACAGTTGTATCTGAGACGTTAGCGATAGCGATGCGTGCACGCCAGGTGATACCTTTCCGCTATATTGACACAACGTAGCGTCTTCAAACTATAACAACACACAGATTTTAGCAAACCTAGAGCACAAAGAGCACGCAAGTCTGTGTCAAACAACGCAATACGTACCACTGGATGACAAACCAGGTCACTCACCTCCGCGTTACTAAGAACGGACATTGACTTTGCCCTTTTCATGCTGAAACCAGACAGGAGCACAGTGTCAGCGGTCAGTGGTCCGTGGTCCGGCTCGGCGGTGAGGCACGGCGCACAGCTCAGCGGCACCCGCACTAACCCGACGGAAAGGAGCCAACCGTGGCGCCGACTCAGGGCGGAGA